ACGCACAAGCGCATTATTATAATAAAATTAAACCATTTGTTAGTCCCGAAATGACCTAGTTTGTGTCGAGTGGACGTTAAACCCCATTTCTCTCTCTCTGGGCGATGTTTGCTTGATAAATACAAGAAAACCCTATAGTGGAAACCTTGCTCAGTAATAAGCAGTAATTGTATTCCATCGAATAGTGATCTGTATGAGAGGGAGAGAGAGAGGGTAAGGTCCACTCGACAAAAACTAGGTCATTTCGGGACTAACATATGGTTCAATTTTATTTCAATAACCCACGAGGTTGGACAGGCGACCCAACTCCTTGTCGCCTTCAATCCGAAGAATGGAAACCTCGCCAGTTGACTCATTACAGACCTTATGATACAAGGCGCACACGCTAACCATTTGGCCATTCAACCCCCCAGTACATGTACATGTATATATATATATATATATATATATATATATATATATATATATATATAGAACGCATATAACAAAAAATAGACCAACCCTCCACCTAAAAACTAATTCGAATCAAAAGTTCTAATTTATATTCCCCTCACTCGACAGTAAATAATGGGTCGCCACAATCCAAACACTCAAAACCCTTCTTCAAGTTACTTCATCCTGAATCATTTCTATTATCCTTTGTCTAATTTTATTTATAATAATTTATATACACACCTGGGTCCCTCCTTCACATATTTACCTTTTAAAATGACAAAGACATACACTATATATACAGTCATATGACTTAATAATTTGTCAATGTTACCTGGTTGTCTAATTAACATCTTTCTACCTGTTACAGTATACCGTTAGAATATATCTAAATAATTTAACATTTTAATAAAGTAAGGTGCCTGGATCGCCACTAGTTTGTCCAATTTACCTGCACCACGCAAGGATACCACACAGATACATCCTGATGAACTTTCTCCCCCAACACCGTAAATGATCGAACCCGGGGTCTTAATCATCTGCCGTGGTCCCCTAGCCCAAAGGATCTTTATCCGCCAACACCCTGTTAAATCGAATCCGAAGCCTTATTCACCCACCGTGGTCCCCTAGTCCCAAAGCAAGGAGATGTGAAATAAATCAATTATTGGCAAGGGTAAAGGGACACGATTGAGATAAATCTGTCTGAATATCAGTATTTGAAGACAGTCGCATGGTCCACATATGCTTTAGCGGGGGGTGGGGGTGGATGACCGAATGGTAAGCACGTGCGCGTACATACGGCCTGTCATTGAGTCAACTGGCGTCTTTTCGAATACCCGTTTGTACGTGACAAGGAGTAGGGGTCGCCTGTCCAACCTCCTGTGTTTTCTCCGGGTCCTCCGGTTTCCTCCCACTGGTAAAGACCCCTACGCGCAAGCGAATTATTGAAATAAAATTAAAACCATATGTTAGTCCCGAAATGACCTAGTTTGTGTCGAGTGGACGTTACCCTCCCCCCTCTCTCTCTCTACTTTATCGTGTATATACGTAAAACAAATCCCACGGAAATATTAATAAGCAGAAAAAAACTAGCTTTAATGGATTACACTCGCGATCAAAATTCTCAAAGAATTTGATGTACATGTCACATATATAGGAACGCCCTTCTGTGTTAAGATCATATGTCCTGATCCCTGACTTAGAGCAGATCCTTAGAAAACTGTCGGGATCTTCTATAATTACTTTACTTGGTTTCAAAGGGGGACGTAATTGACAGAAACGTATACTTGTGTTAGAATGTCACCTCACGCTGAAAAGGTGGATGGGACGCGCGTGACATCGCATGTGGGAATCGCCAAATCGGATGCAACTTTACATAAGCGACAAAGATATATAGATATTTGTCTAGTGTTGATCAATTGTGCGAAAGACAGTCATACAAATTCCCGCCAGAAAAAAAAACAAATCACTATTTGCGTTTTAGTTAGTTTCTTAACATAGATTTACACGGTCGTTTTGAGACATAATAAAGGACGAGTGGCATAGTAGGTAACCCTGTCGTATCCCCTGTGACTTTTCACAATGATTTCCCTAGTTCTCTTATCAGCATGGTGTTCCTGATTTAATTGTTTCGTAATAGGATAAAATAACATCAGACCAGTGACATAGCCGGTACCCCCGGTCGCCTTCCCTGTGACTTTTATAATAATTTTGCTAGTTCACTTATCAGCATGAAGTTCCTGATTATAATAAAGAATTAATTGTTTTGTAATCGGATAAAATAACATCAGACTAGTGACATAGCTGGTAACCCCGGTCGTCGTTCTTGTGACTTTTATAATAATTTTGCTAGTTCACTTATCAGCGTGGAGTTCCTAGTCGTAATAAAGAATTAATTGTTTTGTAATCGGATAACGTTTTTCTATATACGTTCTTTTTAAATCTTAAACAGTTGTTGATTTATTTGACTGTAACAAAATAAAAATCCTCGGTTCGAAGTTATTTTTTTTAAATAGGAACTGGAGAAGATTTCGGGATTTTCATAATAATTTCTCTATCTCCCTTATCAGCATGATGTTCCTAGTCGTAAAAAAAATTTAATTGTTTTGTAATAGGATAATATTTTTCTAGTACGTTCTTTTTTAAATCTTAAACAAAAACGCACAGTTGTTGATATATTTGACTGTAAGAAAATAAAAATGAATGGGATAAACTCTCGATTCAATGTTATTTTATATAGAGGGTGAAGAAGGTCTTTGGATTTGAGAACTTGGACCTCACTTGTTGTAATGCACCCTATACAGACCACCCAAATCAAATCCACCTTTAGCAGTGGGAGGAAACATAAGAGGTGGAGAGTCGACCTTACTCTATGTCACGTACAAGTGGGGAATCGAAACCACACGCGTTACCCCCCCCCCCTCCAACGCAAATTCCCGAACACGTCAATGTACTGTAGAAATTGTTTTAATATTGGGGAACCGTAAATATAATTTCCACAGGTGTGAAAGTCTTAAACGATGGTTTACAGTGTTTTCACCCTCATTCAAATTACTGACATATTTCCAGTTGATTTCATATTGGCCTGTGCGTCATGGCTTGCAGTATAGAGAGAACACGTATATGAAACAATAAAGCTACAATATATACATGTAAATCTAGAGACGCCCGATAAGACCAATGAAGCATTCTAAATAAAATAATTGCAATATTCTGTTCACTGAAGCAGAAGACTGGCCTAAGTACAAATAAACAACGTGCCATTGTTACACTTTACTTTGATCGACGGGTTTCCTACTTTATTAAAACCAAAATTAAGACACTTGGTACAAACAACGCCTTTGTAGTGATTCAGTGGCTACCACTCACTTTAAGCTGGCAAGCTACAATCAAAAAATGCAAATTATTCACTTGCCAATTTGGCCCCTTGTCACCAAGTTTCACCGTTGTCGTATCTTTCATTTTAGCATTTCGGTAATTGACATTTTCAGTGACAACCTTTGTAGATAAATATAACTAAATTAGTTTTGGGGGTTTGAAACAATTTTACAAATTAAAAATTTCACAGAATATAGATCCGCAATTTCTGGGAAGCGGTCATCAAAATATGCATATTAATAACATTATCATTTTAGATACATCTTTTCAGTGACGAACTTAGTCGATAAATAAAAATAAATGAGCTTTTGGGTTTGAAATAATTTTATAAATCTAAATATTTCACTGAACAGAGTTTTGGGATTTCATCTTGCGAACTCTGAATTAATTGATGTGTTAATTATATTACATGATCTGACAACAGATGGAGAATTATATGTCAATAATAATAGGACTAATCTCATCCGTTCAATCTCATGTGTCAGGATATTGACCCACTGGCATTCTTCCAAGAGGTATGTATACGTATATAATATTTAATCTGATTCGGGTAAGGTTACAATCTCATCTAGAACAAAGGATAGAAGATGTGGACACGCATACCATTGGACACGTTATTAAAATGTTACGTATAGGTATGGCAGGGTGGTCCAACACTTGATTTATATATATCATGTTATCTATGCAAGAAGTGTGTCCAATCCCAAGCGTTTACGTGACAAGGAGAGGACAGTTTGCCTAACACCGTATTGGATTTCTCTGGTACCTCCTCGAATGTCTAAAAAAACACCGGTGTAGAAGCGCATTCTTGAAATAAAATATACTATATGTTAGTTAGTTCCCAAACGACAAAATGTTGCGTGGACGTACCCCCCCCCCCCACACACACACACACACACACAAAATGTTGCGTGGACGTAAAACCTCACCCCCTACAAATGGTAGTTTTAACAAATAGCTTAGGTAGAAATCGCACACCGACATTCACCTGTGCTTATTAATTCGCAGGAAATAAAAATGTATATCGGGTCGGGCTTTAAAGCAACATCGGAAATGCTTTGAAAAAGAATGAGAATATTTACAATTTGTTTTTTTTTTTAATCCAGCCACTTAAAAACGGTAATCAATTTTTAAGAATCAAAATCTGAACCAAAATACATTATATAGATGCAGATGGTTTCATTCTAAAAGCATTATTATAAATGACGTTAACCGTGGGGATAGCTTATAACGGAACGATCCTTAAAAAACGTGAAATGGCATCAATTGTTAATCAAGATATTTTTACCAGACACAAATATACAAACTTCCGCTATTATGCAAATATTGTTTTCTCTAATCCTAAAGAATTTAATTATTCGGTCTGTTGGTTGAACCCGGGGTCAGTGTACACTGACAGGTCAATGTTTTAGTTTAGGGTTATTTCATAATGACATTCAATGGGACAATTACCGGATAATCCATCGGATTATAAGGTAAATGAACGGCGAGGACAAATTTAATAATACAACGCAATCATTACAACAAATAATTTCGTCAGATTTGAGAAAAGACATTAATACAACGCGTGACTTTCACTTACGGCTATTGCTGTCGTCCACACGTCCAGTCATTAACACGTGACTTCAATCAAGTGTTTTAATTGGTTCAGTGTTCAGGTATGTGCTGTGCTCGTGGCCGACCGATCCCAACCTAAAGGTAAATAGGTGAGTCTAGGATTCGCGTGCCCCGACACGGCTCACCACTTTAGTCCGTGTGTTACTTCGACAGACTTCGGCTGCTCTCGTGTCAAACGTCAAATATGTCCGCCTCGGCAGATGCGTTAGCCAAGAAGAAACAGTCACCAGCTATTCAAAGACGAGTATGTATCAATTAATTTATCAATAACTAATTATCTAATTGATCATTGTCCAATATCATATTTTACTAATTGTTCATTCATACATTTTTTGCCTTCATTATGTGCTAGAATAACGACTGGTTATAATTAGTTTATGTTTGACAAGCGTAGTTTGTATCCGATTGTGTGACTTTATCGTGGTAAAGTTGTAGGACTTTAGACTTAATAATTTAACCAAAAGCAGAAGAAAAACAATGACTGTTCATAATTATTATGTTTGACAGGCGAATCCGATTGTGCGACTATATAAAGTAAAGTTGTAGAACTTAATTTAAACGAAATCAGGCAACAATGTTAGTATTACATTTCTTGTTCGTTCTATTATCAAGATGTTTGAAAAGTTAGGGTTGCAAAAGATCACCTTGCCTTACACCTCCGCAGTAACTTAAGTTTTCCGTCCTTGATTCAATAAAGCTAAACCAGACAACCTTATTAGTGTTACTAATTTTGTGACGTTCAATTGTCAAGCTGTTTGAACAGTTAAAGCTACAAACGACCCCTTGTGAGATACCTGTGTAATAATATAAATGTCTTCTTACTGTTATACTAATTTAATGTTATCACAATCCGGAAAAATTATTAGTATTACTTGTTTTGTTCGTTCTAGTGTCAACATGTTTGGAAAGTTAGGATTGCAACACTCCTTGGCCTTATACCTCTGTTATAATTTATGTTTAAAGGCTCAATACCACTCTTGTTGTAACTGAATAATATGTCCCAATCTTTATTCTGGTCAACAAATTGTACTATTTTACAATATTCCAATTAATTGGTGATACAAATTTCATCTTAACACACCTAATTTAAAAAATTGGAAAAATTCAACTAAATGATTTGAAAAGCCTAACGTAAACCTTTTCAAATGTGACTTGGATTTAAAAATATTTTCGAACCCTCTGGACAAGTAAAATAGGATGTAATGGATAATTTACACAACAGGTAGGACACTAACACATCTAGTACTTAGAATAAGGCTATTATTTATTTTCTGGAGCTGTCAAGCCAGCAAGAGTGTTATTGCCCCTTTAACAACTTAGTATTAAATTTTTGTTCGTTCCATTGCCGAAATGTTTGAAGAGAAAGGGCTTCAACAGATCCCCTTGCCTTACCCCTCTGCACAGCAATGTGTGTTCGTTCTATTGCCGAAATGTTTGAGGAGTTAGGGCTTCAACAGACCCCTTGCCTTACACCTCTGAACAGGAATTACATGTACAACTTTATGAATATAGTATCTAACAGTGTATAATATATGCTGCTTTATGAAAATATTATGTAATAAACTTATTAGAAGGTATATACTATCGTCTTTCTTTAATTAACTAATTATTTACCGTTTATATCATCATGTGGAATGGGAATAATTGTTGTTATTACAGATTTAACGTCCAAAACATTAAATATGATATTATCGACAGGTTGATTTAATTAAATTATATTCGCTTAATGGGTTGAAAATTGGTAAAAACACAAAATAAAAAAATTGGGGTATATCAAAAGTCACCTTAAGATTGATAAAAACACAAAGCTAAAAAAAAGTCCTTGTATATCAAAATAAACATTATACTCTATTGTTATGGAGTAGCCTAATGATCCAGATCATAAGACGTGGATTCGATCCTACAAGTGCCTTCCTAACCTCGTGGGTTTTCTCCGAATCCTTCGGTCTTTTAGCAGTGGGAGGAAACCGGATGACCAGGAGAAAACCCACGAGGTTGAACAGGCGAGCCTACTCCTTGTCAGGTACAACCGGGGAATAAAAACCACGCCAGTTGACTCAATGGCAGACCTAATGATGCTGCACACACACGCTAACTATTCAGCCATCCTACTCCCACTGTTGATTTATATTCAATACGACATCAATGACAATAAACAATTTACCAGCTTTATGTATTAAATGAACAACTTTGAATTTTAATATCAATCATTTCAAGCGATAACAAACTATTTTTCTTAGAGCGTGTGATTTAGTATCTACGTAAGGTCGCCAATGTCTCGTCTTATGAATAGAAAGATAAAGCACTTTACATATCGAATGAAGATAGAATCAGTACTTATATAACGGAATGGTCGTGTGGAGATTTATACAAAGGACAGTCTGGTTTAACACGTGTTTCGTCTGAATAGATAAAATCTATTTTTTTAAATTTTCTATATATCTTAACTCATTTAAACCCCGAACAGTAATGTAATTCAAGGAGAAAACGAGGAAAAATAAAATATGCCATTAATTCCAAATACATCTTTCGCTTTTTAATGTCATAAAACTTTCACGCAAATCACGGGCCGTTATCCATGTTTTGAATCAGACGCCGGTGGATGTTTTTAAAAACAAGATAAGAAAAAAAGTTGTATGTTATCGAAAACAATCTGAAAGCCTTGTCATTCAAGTTTTCCAGTGAAATAACGTAATTTGTGGAGGTTTTTTCTTTGAGTTAATCCCACTATTTTTTGTTGTAAATGGATATTTTTAACAAAGCGTTGTATATTTTTCATCTTGATAACGGATATAATTCATAATCTTTTTATATATTAAAGATTTTTGTTCTTTATTCTTGACATTTTATATTATATATCTGATATGTCGTGGTTTTCTTTTTTCTTTTATTATTCATATATTATATTTTTTTAGGGTAATAAGCCTCTAATAGAGAAACGACGACGTGCTCGGATTAATGAGTGTTTGCTACAGTTGAAAAACTTAGTGCTGAAAGCCACTAGTACTGAGGTAAGTTACTACGTATTTATTGCGCATAATTTGGGGTTTGTTTGTTAAGAATTTCGGCGTTTCTGTGGCTTTAAATGAAACACAGGAGATTATTTCTATGAAGATATAAAAGGAAGTAGGGTTTAACGTCCTACATTTCTGTACCGAGGTAATAAAAGGAATAAACGACCATGCCATTATACTACGTCAGAGAAATGGGGTTTGACGTCCACTCGACACAAACTAGGTCATTTTGGGACTAACGCGCTAATCATTCGCCCCCCTCCCCCCACACGTCAAATGGGAGTCTCAATACAATTCTGGTATTTTATTATTTTGATTTATGAAATAACAGAACAATCATCAATTTTCTTTGGATCCCCAAATATTAACTAAAGTCAACGAATAATACACACGTTATTCACGGCATTGGCATAATTAATGTACGAAATTAATGCCACAACTTTAGCAGGGTATATTCTTTGATGTTTATTATCTTAAATTAGTAAAATAAAAATAATATTTGATAAAATAATCTACAAATAAACCAGATCTCCCTACAAGAATACAAGATTCTTTACATGCTTTCTTCACGCTTTGGGACATAATTAATGTACATTATAATCCCAACTTTAGCAGGGTATTAATATACATTCTTTGACGTCCACTAATGAAAAACTTGTTCCATGTGTCCTGGGGTAAAGTGATCTGTCCAGATGATACATCTAACTCAGGTTGTTTCATTTATTATGATGTTGGTTTTACAGCGTCTCGACGGCTTACAACTTACCTCAAACAAATGGCCTTGTCTCGTTGACATGCCTACAGAAAGAGATAGATGGAGGATTTCATGCGTTCTCTTGTCTCTGCCCTATCAAGAACAAAACAGAGGAGAACTTGATTTGTGGGATGCCCCCCCCCCCCATAGTAATGGCTACTATTTTTTTCATTAGAATATGAAATGATATTTAACGTCGTAGGATTTAGCAGCAATCTGGCCACGTGATGGCGAATTTTGATTTAGTGGACAAATGAAATGGGGTTTAACGTCCTACTGTTTGATTTAGTGGTGCATGGATTCCCATTCAGTACAGTCTGTAGCTGTTTTAGATGAAACATACAAATAGTTTCTTATTCCATGCGATCACTTGTTATGTGTTATTGCTATGTTTGTTTCTTGAAATATATGGTTCTATTTATAATACATACGTTGAGACATATTCGGGGTCATTTTTACGTTGTGGGAAAAGCGTGCTAAATTAAGATACTAGAGTTCTGTACTGCAATATAATTTATAACACATGACACAATCATATGGAATACAAGTTACCTGTAGGATTTATTTCAGCGACGTTTCAAAGAGGGTTCTCCTGTCCTCTCACTATTAAAAACCCCTAGGGCGCAAGCGAATTATTGAAATAAAATTAACCCATGTGTTAGTCCCGAAATTACCAAGTTTATGTCGTGTGGACGTTACACCCCATTTTATCCCTCTCTTTATGTAAATGGAACTTAGGTCAAACCAATTTAAATTTGATTTCTTCTGGGTTTTGTCCAATAGATAGCCCACTCAATTCTTGCGCACGATGTTTGTTGAAATTTCAAAACTTAAATATATGAAACTAAAAACCTTTAATCAATGCAACAAAATACTTTTGCGTTTTAAATTGGTCTTTTTCTTAAAATGAGAAGCAAAATTTTAACAGGTGTTCAACCGAAAACCAAATAACCAAATTGGTGTGTCTTATTTATTTATTTTTATTACAAAATACAGTTACTGTCACAACAGAAAATTATACATTATAGCTGCCATATTTCTATTTACCCCAGTAAGAAGGAGTAGTATCCACGTCATTATCAATGTGTGTCCTCTTATTAAACTTGTGTAACACGTCATCGCTTTTAGTGGTCACAACTTCAATCCTTTGATTATGGGGTTGCCACGTGTTCATACGTTTAACCTGACAATGTCTCCTTCAAGAAAATAAAAGCTTATCGATTGTTACATCATCGTGTGTGTATTGTCCGTGGCAGTTCAGTTAACTATAGCCTTTAAAACAGAGACGAAGAACACGTATATTTATGGGTGGGTTATAGCATGCTGGCTCCCGCACCACGGGTTAGCCAACTCAACAATTTTACTACATTTTTAAGACTTTTTAACAATTTGTCTTAAATCTTAAAAACAATGACATAATTTTATGTACCTGTTAAATAGCAATATGTATATCGATTCAAGGTGATACTTTTGAAGATGAAAGGGACCGACTAATTGGGTCGTCACACCTGTAGGGTCTTGAGAAGGGGTTTAATGATGTAAGGCGTTATTTAGCTATAAAATGTAACCTCTTATAACAAAATACTGGTTAGATTGAACCCTGTACTTTTCTCGGATAGCACCCAAGATGGAAGCGGACATTCACCCACACGAACGAAGAATTTACGGGACATTATAGATGGATAGAACTTATCACCGTCTTTTTTGTCAATATCGCCCAAAGTATTGCAGAAAGTGACCGAAAGGAAAGATATGTTTTAGATACGAGCTTTTGTTATATTATATCCAAAATTTAAATAATTTCATAAAAAAGGGACAAAATTATGGGAAAAGTGAAATTGAAAAAAAAGGCTTTTGTCGGTGATTAGCAAAACCGTTTTTTTGTCAAACTTTTAATCGTCAATCTCGATGTATCGCCACGCTTTCACAATATTTTTCTTTTATATTGTGAGAGCAATTATTATTTTGTTGTTATTGTCTAAGCTACAACATTTTGGGGCACATTTTTTGTCACTGAATTGTGTGTTATGTACGAACCGCTGAATTGCATGATATGTTCGAGTTACTGAATTGCATGTTATGTTTGAGTCACTGATTGCATGTTATGTTCGAATCACTGAATTGCGTGTTACGTTTGAATCACTGAATTGCATGTTATGTTTCAATTACTTACCAAAGATATTTATCACCACGCGTAGGACGTTAAACATAAGTCATCTCTGGTAAAATGTAGAACAGTAACACAACACGGCATTCACCCTCAAAGTGATTATTATTTATTTTTTTGAAATATATATTTTATTCACGGGATACCCAAACAGAGAGAGAGAAATGGGGTTTAACGTCCACTCGACACAAACTAGGTCATTTCTGGACTAACACATGGTTCAATTTTATTTCAATAATTCCCTTGTGCGTAGGATTCTTTAGCAGTGGGAGGAAACCGGAGATTGGAAATCCCCAAACTATATAAATCGGATTCCCCAAAACATAAAACATTGATATAAATATTAATCAAAGGATTATTAAAGGCTCAATACCACTCTTGTTGTAACTGAATAATATGTCCCAATCTTTATTCTGGTCAACAAATTATACTATTTTACAATATTCCAATTAACCGATGATACAAATTTCATCTTAACACACCTAATTTAAAAAATTGGAAAAATTCAACTAATTGATTTGAAAAGCCTGACGTAAAGCTTTTCAAATGTGACTCGGATTTAAAAATATTTTTGAACCCTTTGGACAAGTAAAATAGGATTTAATGGATAATTTACACAACAGGTAGGACACTAACACATCTAGTACTTAGAATAAGGCTATTTTTTTATTTTCTGGAGCTGTCAAGCCAGCAAGAGTGTTATTGTCCCTTTAATAAACTGAAACGATACGATTCTGGGTCAAAATAAAATTTTGTATTTCATATCAGCTTTTTTTAAAATAAAAATCGATGTGTAAATTCTAGAACTTCTACCCCTTGTAAAAAAATTTGGATGTTAGTTCAAAATAAAATTTTTAAAATATATTTAATGTCACCCATTTTATTTATTTTGGGAATGTCACTGCTTCTATCCTTTTAATTTTTTATCAATTCAAAAAAAGAAATTTAAAAAAATATATTTCACCTCGACCATTTTAAGAATTAATATCGAAATTCCAAAGCCTACCCCCTATTAAATAATATTTTTCAAGGTTCTTTGTAGTCAAAGCCCTTATAAAAATGAAAGTTATTAAATGCACTTTGTACATTCGATAGATTTTTCAAAATTACAAAAAAAAAATGTTATTACTCTATAAATGCATTGAAATACGAAACGGGGCTTCATACATCTTTCGGTCTAAAGCCATTATCTAAAGCTTTAGAAACTAAAATGTTATTTGAATGTAAAAGTCATAAATTTATAGAATTGCATATTGTATTTTAAATAAAACCCAATGTTAAATAGATTCTTGACAAGTTAAATAAGACTTTTACAATTGTTAATAATCCCCATATATTAAATCCATTAGAGCCAAACTCGACAACAATGGCTTTGTGATTTTTGGCACGCGAAAGATAAAGTCGTTCGAAGATAAAAACTAAAGTCAGCAAGGGCATTAGTCAAGGCGGGGTTGTGTCTTCAATAGATTTCATTACATGACGTAACGTTATCCTCGCCACCCGCTGATAAATGTGCTGAATTGATTAAATTATTGTTGTCTGTGCATGCACGTGTTTTTTTTTTTTTGTGGTTTTTTTTCGGGGTTTCTTTTTTTTTATTAAATCTGTTTTTTTAAAAGAAGATAAGTTTTTTTTTATTGTAAATCTTCACAAGCAAGACATAAAATGAAGTGGGGTTTAGAGTCATACTGTACTGAACCAGGGCATACGCCACGTAGTGTGCTAAGAGGGAAATTGGGCCCGGACAACGGCGCTACGGCCTACTCTTATATCGAATTCCAACTACATTTACCAAGGGTTCTTTTACGTGCAAACCAACGTGTAGACGGGAACCTCGGTTTGTCGTCCTGTGGGAATGACTATACATTGTCCCTTGCCAGGCTCTCCGTCTTGCACCATATTATAGAAAAGAGTATGCAAGCTTTGTTATCGTCTAAATGTTTCTCCTTAAACGTAATTTTTAAATAATTATATTTGATAGAAATGTGAATTCCAGCAATGGATATATAAGTCTGTGTCACTTACATATTTCATAACCATACTTTATAGAAAGGGGAATTAAAGCATTCAGAAAAA